GCTTTACAGCACCTTTGAATAAGTGATCTTTAAATAAATGAAAAGACAGAAGCAAGTAACTTGCTTAAATTTTGCAGTTTCTCTTTATTTCTTTGAAAACCTAATTGATTAATTAATGTTGAACCAGAAAGTTAAACAATTGTACATTTTTGGGGGGAAGCAAGTTTAGTCTCAGATAAGAATAGATTGAAGTAATTTATGCCTGCTGGGGAAAAATTATTATTTTTTAATGGAAAAGAAGAATGCAATTATAATGTATATTTCACCATGTGAGAAGGGAGGTATTTTCAAATTTCCATTCTACAGATAAGGAAAAACAGTAGGGAATTTTAAGTTACCTCCCTAATGTTATACATACATAGTATCTGTAGAAGCATTAATGCTGGGCAGAGCAGGACTGTAGCATATAATTGAGAAAACTGTGTAACTACATCATGAATGGCTCTCTTGCCTTATGTACTGGAGGATCTCTGAATATAGCACCAAGAGAGAATATAGTAAATGAAGATGCTCTGCAAGGATAGGAAGCAACTAGAGGGGTCCTGGAATAATGATCCTCCTCTATCTTACATTGTGCTACTAATTGTGTTTTGGCTTATTTTCCTTCTTTAGCTGTTCTGGTCTCTCTGATAAATCAAGTTTGATTTGACCAATTTCCTGTATCAATGAGGTAGTGCTGAAAGGATGTCATGGAGTGCTGCTTATTTAATTTCTTGGCTATCAAGTTACTGCTTGGATGAATGATCAATGGGTATATATGTAGGTTGTGTTGATATTTCAACATATATTAGTGTAAGATAATGGGTGTAATGCATAAATGGACCTGTGTGCTATTTGTAAAAGATTTTTAAGTTCTTTTTTAGAGATGGGATTGAGGGAAAAACAAGAGAAAGCAAAGTATTTATAGGTGGTAATTCCAATTAGCAAAGGCTGAGATGATACTGTGGTTTCTGTTTTGTAAGGAATCTCAAACACTGCATTTAAAGATACCAATTTGAATACAATTTTTATTACCACAAAATAATGTTTCCTTTATTTTTGCCAACATGTCCAATTAAAAAGGATTTTGTGTATCTTGGAAATTGATAAGATGTCTTAAAGTAACTGAAAGAATAAATTTCATGTAATTGAATGAGAACTACAAAGGTTAAAATTGTCTTAAAATACAGATGGGGGGACAAGTTGGACTTTCATCTCCATTCACGGTGGAGTGGATGAAAGTGGAGAGCCTTCCCATCATAAAAAATTAGAACACTGGACAAAAAAGCCAAAACAACAATAAGCCCTCCCAAAACAAACAACCAAAGAACCAAACAAGGCAAAGAGTTTTAGAAACTGAATAGTAAGTAGCACAATTCTGTGTCATTTGAAGAAGGCAGAGTCCACCTTTACCATAGTTGATCACATGAGAATAAGTTTTTGTCTAAGATTCAGGGAGTTTGAGCCTAAGCAGAGTAGGGTAGCTCCACTGATGTTAAGAGACAGAAATAAGAGTTCTGGGATACAGGAGCACCTGGGACCTGTGGGATAGGAGTCCAGACAGGAGAGAGGTAGGCAAAGGAGGTGGGCTAGAATTCTCTACAGGTGTTGCCTACAGATCTCTGGCTGAGGCTCGGGCTGAATACAGGCAGGGTATGCTGTAACAGAACGACTAGAGAGAAGACGCTGCAGGGCTGAGAGCAGAAACGAGATGGGAAATGGTGGAGTGAATAACTCTCACAACATTGTCAACACCTCATTTATTTCCATCTCATTAATACCTCTTTAATACTCAATGTTCAGCAGCCTGGAAGACCATACATTAGAAGTAAGGAATCCTATTAGATCTAGCATAATCCTGCCCTAACAGACTCTTAGCTAAGTACCTGCAAATCCTTACAATACAAACTTCTGTGCTTTAAGTCCTGCCAAGTTGGAAGGTCTATAAAGTAAGTACCATGGACCATCCATGGATCCTCTCTAATAAAATATCAAACACAGCCTATTACACATTTGAGACAAATTCAAGTCTATACACATCCCTTAATTGAACTTCCTGATAAAATTAAAAAAAAACATTATTCAGTGGAAATATACATTCTTCAGAGGATGATAAAATAGTATGGGATGTCCACAGCACATCCACAAAGTCTAGGAAGAAGTGGAATGCAAAAAAGTAGGAAAATAAAAACTGAACCCATGAACCAGATATTGGGTGAGCAAACAAAACCTCAAAGGTATTTTTAATATGTTCAAGAACTTAGATAATAATACTTTTAAAAATAGGGAACAGGGAAGAACTCTTAGCAAAGAAATGAAACTATTTAGAAAAGGAAATTTTTGATATGAAAGCTAAAATAAGTGAAATAAAAAATCACTGGATGGTTCAACTAAAAATTGGAGAAGGTAGAATAGTTCATGAAATTGTAGAGAAATTAATGCATAGTGTTTAATTTGAAAAATAGAAGCAAAACTGAAGAAAAAGGACCAGAACATTAGTGACCTGTGGAACCATTGTGAAAGCCTGGTGTCTGCATAATTTTATTTCAAAAGGAGTTGAGAATGTGAATGAGACAGAAAGAATATTTGATGAAATACTGACCCCAAATATCTCAATTGTGACACTAAAAATCAGTAAGAACCTTAGTAAAACTCAGACCCCAAAAAATGCCCCCAGAAACAAAGAACAAAAAAATTATGCTTGGCAACATTATGGACAAACTATTGCAAACCAAAGATAAAGAGGAAATTCTGAAATCAATCAGATGGGGAAAAAAGATATCACAATACAGGGGGAAAATCATACGAATAAAGGCTCACTTCACGTCAGGACAGAAGAGATGAAGAATAATGGAATACATCTTTCAACTGGTGAAAGAAGAAGAAAAAGAACTACTCAGAATTCTATATACTTAAAGAAGTGCTTCAATTGTAATAAAATAAAGGCATTTTCAGATAAAATAAGGCTAACAGAATTTGTAACTTGCCAATCTGCACAAGGCAATCTTGCCTAAAGGACTTCAGCATGAAGGTAAATAACAGATGAAAACTAGAATCCCCAGGAAATTGGGGATTCTGATAGTGATACAAGAAAATAGAAATTGCCTTATGATTTCAACATACAAAATATGAAGTCCTTTAAAACTTAGAGTCATCAATACAGTAACTTTATGAAATATTTTGTCTTAAATTATTTATTATCTTCAGAATTATAAGAAAGAATTAAAAACATATTCAAATTATGTAATATGAATATTACATAATGGCTTTTAGGGAGAGGACAGAATGAGATATAAGTAATTCTAGTGCATCTTTGGTAATAAGACGTCCTTCAGTAGAAATTTAGGTTGATGTCGAGAAAGCATAAGGCAATGCACAGCTACAGATAATATAATAGCCTACATATCTTGAAAAAAATATATATTTTTACTCATAATTAACCCCTATTTGTTCTCAATCATTAACTATTATTAAGTATTATATATACCCATGTCAGTACTTTAATGAATATTCTTTAAAATCATAGTTTCTCTGTCAAGAAGCTAGCTTAGTGTAGTTTAGGAGGATGAGCATACAATGAAAGATAGCATTTATACAAGTTACAGTTAATAACTTCTTTTGAGAGTAACAAAAAGGTCTGAAGCAATTATAACTCTAAGAACTAAAAATATGCTAGATGAAACATGTAGGTACTCAGGACCTTAAAAAACATAGCAGCACTTATGTCATTAAAAAGAGGGGTAGATGTTCTAAAGCAAGACACAGCAAGAACAAGGCTCTAATGCATAGTAAAGCTTGAAATCTTTGGTATTCATGAGATCACTGGCCTACCAAGCAGCCAGGTGTTGTTGGGAAATACAGGTGACAATAAGATTATCGATGCCTCTTAATGACAGATGAAAGAATTTTGGCTTTATACACAGTGGATAAATATCAAACATTTTTAGATTATATCATATGAATACCTTGTAGAGAGACACATACAGTAACATGGAATTTACATGAATTCCAAATGAAGAATGGTAAACAGAAATACAATAACACTATAACATTTTTTCAATTATAAAAGACAGTACACGAGATTGATTGGGTTAATGCATCAATCAATTTGTGAGTTTTTTTAAAAACTCCCTTGAAAAATAGATTCTCAAATTTCTATTTCTTTTGTTATTCTCACTGATACAAATTATTCCAATGTATAAAATTCATTTTGGGGTTCCCCAAATGTATGTTCTATACACATGAATTTGTATATTTAGAAAATATATGGATTAGAGAATGTATTCAAATAGATTTTTTCTTCTGATTCTTGGTGTGATAGCACAATATTTATAACATATTATGATATAATATGAGAGAAAATGTTATTTTATAATGTCCCTGATTACCCAACATCAGCCCTATGACTGCTCAAGTGGAAAACAGTTTAGCTACGTGAAGATCCTTACACCTCCTGTCCAACACTGGTCACCTGAAGGATCTGAACAAACTTACTAGCTAAAAAAAAAATTGATAAAATGGAAAATTTTTTATTTTGGGTAATCTGAGGGCCAACTCCATCACTATCTTGCCCTTCGATTTTCCTGAGCAGGCACGTGTTTCTTCATGTATCATGTCCCATTGCTTAAAAGCATGAGAAGATACATTCCTACTCTTTACTAACCATGTGACCACTATAATTTTAAGATAAAAATGTGTGGTCATGGTAATTTTGGGTCTCAAGGTAAACATCTACAGACATACAAACTTTGTCAAACACTGCTAAAGTATTTTGCAGTGTTTTGGAAAGGAAACCAGAAAATGTTTTTCATTAAAGTTATTTGATGATAGCTTTTAAGTACCCTCACACAAGGAATTGAAATTCACTATATAATAAAAAACAGAACCAGTTTAAGGTAAAAAGAGAATAAATAGTTGAGACTGTGTGTTCTCACTGAATTCTATGCCAGAGACACAGCAAAGCTAAGTAAAACCAAACTAAACCAAACCAAAAGAGAACAATGACAATAATTGACACTTACCCATATTTTGCAAAGTTTGCCCAGCGTTTCATCATCGATCTACTCAAAATCTCCTCAGCTTTTGTGTAATTAAGTATTTCGAGAGGTAAACCAAAGACAAATTCAATTTCATAACCATGCATCACTCCCATCCATTTTGGCCAAGGAAGTTGGGAGGATTGGTGTTCAAAATAATAGAGAAAGGCATTATTTCCCAATTCTGAGAACTTTTTGGTGAACTCCAAGGCAGGGCATATGATATTGTGATCCCCAAGAACATCATCCAAGGCCTCACGGTAGTTTTCAGCTCTCTGATCATCTAATAAGTCTATGTAATAGAAAATGATTGATTCCCTTCCAAATTCATTCACTCCTGGAAAAAACATTTTTAAACCTTCTTGAAATTCTTTCCTAGTTATGATACTGTTGTTGTCTTTGCTGAAACCAGGAGCACCATATACTAAAAACGCTGTCCCTTCATCTTTATTGACACCCACCAAGATCTGGGTTTTTTTGAACTGTCCAAGTTGGAGTAGTGTGTCTGGCATGTCAGTGAGAAAATCTCCATCCACAGTTGGACCAAAGTTGATGGACAGGAGAGTATCAGAGGGGACAACCAATACTTCATTCTGAAGAATTTCCTGGGGATCTTTATTTCGAAGGCATTTGATTATCTCAGTCTCACTTTCTCTAGAGCAACCAATAAATTTAGCTAAAACCAATGTTCTGTTCCTAGCTTCATCAGGAGATTTTACTGCCCAAGGGGCATTAGAGGACCCGCTTTGCAGAATTGCTCTGGTAAACAATGGGTAGCTTCTAGGAGAAAACAAATGAAAGCTAACTGAAGCGGCTCCTGCACTTTCTCCAAAGAGAGTCACACTTTTAGGATTTCCACCAAAAGCTGCTATATTTTTTTGGACCCACTGAAGTGCCAGCTGTTGATCAAATAAGCCCATGTTCCCTGGTGCCTCAGGATTTCCTGGTAAAGCTAAGAATCCTAGGGCACCCACTCTATAGTTCATTGAAACCACAATAACTTTTTCAACTCGAGCCAGAAACTTGCCGTCATAAACAGGTAAAGATGATGTTCCAGTTTGAAAACCACCACCATAGATCCATATCATTACTGTAGCATTTTTTGGTTTAGGTGCTGGAATCCACACATTCAGATATAAACAGTCCTCACTGAGATCAGTATTTGGGTTCCACATCTCTGATCCAGGGAAGCCTGGGAAACCTTGATCTATGTTCTGATAGCAAGAATTCGCATATTTTGTGGCATTCCACACATCAGACCACTTGGTCAAGAATTGCGGCTTTTTGAATCGAAGTCTACCGAGAGGTGGCTGTGCATATGGAATTCCAAGAAAGGCTGTTACGGTGCCACCAAGAACTGGCAAGTTCTTCCCTCTGACTTTTCCATTCTTGGTTGTGATTATGATGTCCTCTTCAGTGCGTGACTTCCCATTAAGCACCCAGAGCAGAAGAAACTGCAAGAGCAATTGGGTGCATGTGATTGTGCCCTTGCTCTGCATATTGATTTCTGAAAGAGAGGTAAGTTAGGAAATTTTAACAGTCTCATGCATCTAGTATTATATTTTATTCATGATAGTTAACTAAAATATAGTTTTATTAATCCTAAAAATTATGAATAATAAATCTGCTAACACTTTAGAGGCGTGTGTAAAAAAAAAAGAACAGAAAATGGAGATATTTTAGTACTCAGTTTAGAAATCAGTGAAATGGAAAAATAGAAATTCCACTTATTTCAGTTTGGGAAGATTCATTAATGAGTCTCTGAAAGGAAAATTTAGTATTCTAAAGAGGAAGTTTTTCCCAGGCGTATATATATGTACTTCTCTACCATACATAGCCCCACCAAAAGTGGCATTCAGTGGTAGTCAGCTTATCACATATATAATTTCTTCTTTGGTTAGAGAATGAAATACATACCCACGTATTCTCTAAAATATGTACCATTCTATTCATGGCTGACTGGCTCTTGACAGAGCTGTGAAGTAGGTGAAGGACCTTCAAGGATCTTTAGACTTCTGTTACTGCCTTTTTTCTGTTCCCATGGTCCCTTCTGTGGTCCTTTTTTGCTTAGTGCTTTGTTCCTCTGTTGGATCTTAGTCTTTGGGCAGAAAAGAATTTGGACAATCTATTCACAGAATGTTAAGTAAATGGTAGTTGGCATTCATCCTACAAATTATGAAAACTAACATATCTGCCACCACTATAAAGACCTCTGGGAAAAACGGGAAAGGTAGGGTTACAGATATCTATCTGATAATTTCTCTGAAATTGAATAATCAAGAAGGGTTTCTCTTCCTGAATTACAATGACAGTGGAGGGAACCAGTGGCTGATAATGTGATATATGAAAGAACACAGTGAATTCGGAAGAATTTCACACTGAGAGATTACTCAAGGCACATCTGTTAATTTGATAACTGATTCGAGTATAAGCACAAGTGAAGTTAAGTGTTAATATGCTCAGATTTACTTGCAGTTTGAAGGTGGAAAAATTGGGTGAAATAAGAGGACAAAAGCTGGGAAATTACTGGGAAAAATGAAGGAGGAAAAGTAATCTTTGAGGCCTACAAAATCTTAATTACTTGACATTTTATTAAATAATATTTATTTGATGACATAAAGAGACTAATTGGGGAGGTTAAAATTTTATTAAAAATTTATAATGCACACCTGAGTTTCTTTAAAAAAAATCTAAAAATCAGATTCTGAAACTCCATGTGATAGAGGGACAGAAAAATTTAATGAAGGTATCATTTAAATGAATGAACATCTTTAAACAATTGAAAGAAAACATTAAAATAGTTAAATATAAATAATGATTCTCATCTACACAGTAATGACAAAGGTACATAAAAGTACAAAGTCTGTCCTTTATTATTTGTTGATACTATAATTGTAAATCCAACCTATGTATCCAAGGAGCTAATCCTGTGAGCACTGAACGTTTGTATTCTTTGAAATTCAGATTGTCTTAGAACTTAGAGAACAAGACCCCACCCTTATAGCTGTCTGACATCTAGGACGCTCAGATTTTAAATCAGCTTTAGTCACCACCGCTCATGATATGCTAGCGATCAACAAGTATTTTTTGATGCCCCCAAAATATCTGAAAAATCTAATCCATTGTGTACAGTATTTTGTCCAGTATGCAGTCTTACGGTTGTATCTCTATTTCCCTCTCTGTCACTGTCTCTATTTTTGTTTATGCCTGTGTCTATGTCTATATATATCTAATTTTATTGATGTCTATAGGTATGTGCATATATAATACACACACACACACACACATATATATATATACATCTATATATTATGATTGCTGTAAGAATAAGATTCTAAAAAAGCAAACTAGGTATTTTTTAATGTTCTCAATTGTGATTCAATTGAATTTGTACTAAGACCAACAAAATATAGTACTGAAGCATATAATATTTTAATACTATTTCTGTACTATTGTGATGCTTGGGTATTATTATAATCATAATAAATGTAATTTGTTATAGGTACTAATAAGCAAACAAAATTTAATAATTCTGTCAAGAGTCCTATAGACTTGACACTAATGAAACTTAGTATTTCTGAATTTAAGGAGTTTTAAAAGCAGTGCTAATACACATTTTTTTTTGATAATTTCTAATCCCTTTCTTGTAAATAATTGGAGCTCGACATTTGGAGAAGAACAAAATGCTGTGATTTATTTATTTATTTTTCATTTTTAAAAACCTGCTTTGGAAAGGAAAAAGGAATTAAGATAAAAGCTGGCTTACTCTCAGCTGCGTTTTATCAGATTGGTCACAAATCCCTGACAGTATTCATCCTCCCTTTTGGCCTAGCTCAGCCAATGTTCTTCTGAGTCTAGGATGTAAAGATCATCTACTTTTTTCTTGGTTTTATGTAAATATTATTTTGTCTTCATAAACTGAACACTAAACCCTAATAATTGTTTGTTGCTGATAATTTTAAAAGTTTTGTTCTACAATTTATTCATTTTATTGCACAGCAAGTATAATTACTACCAAAATATTTTGTTTTCTTATGTAATTCATAAATGTAATAATTTTCATTGCATATGTTAATAAATAGCTACTATTAACACCTAAAAAGTTGTAATGTCATTCCCATATCAGTTTGATTTACATAATTATTTTTTATATTAATGTTTTTATATTAATGTTATACAGTGTGACTTAAAGGAATAATAATTTTGTTTTCTCATCAGTAACCTATAGTCATCACTTTGTAAATAGCACAATTAGTAACATTTAAAAAAATCATCATAAACATGCATTCACCCCAAAAATGGCAATATAATTCCAACTCACCAACGTGCTACGTGTTGGTTAATGCTATGTCATATTTAAAGCAAAACTTAAATGCAAAAATATGCATTTGCTCACATACTCTCTGTTTGTGTAGGCTAGTGTTTTTATATTTAGCTGCAATATTTTATTTAAACAAGCATTATTTTGTTCTTTTCATGACCTGTTATTCTCTAATCCTACATAGTACTCTGTAGTTGTACCATTAAGAGATTTTTACATTTTTAAGATATGTTGTCACATGATTAAACAAGTAAAAGAGAAACACAAGAAACTAAGAAAATACTAGTCTATATCTCTAAATCTTTATTAATAATTATAATAATCAAGAAAACTTCATTGTTTTTCCGTCTATAAATTCTGGTGCAAATTGGCTACTACTGCATTAAATAAACAATTTAAATTCTGAGACTACATAACATGTTTATCATAAAGAATGAGGAAAACTTTTATATCAAATACAACTGAGTATGTGAATTTAGATCAATTAATTTATTGTCATAGTATTTGAAATAAAAGCAGGAGGTTTAGGTTTTGTTTGGAAATGCAAAAGAAAATGAATGATGGGAGTGGGAAAGTGAAAAACCTGAGAGATAAAGAATATTACGTTCCAAGTTTATCAAATTCTTCTCCAGAAAATCAAAATCTACTGGCAAGTTTTGGAAAATACTCTAAACTTTTAATAATATAACTCTCAAAATTAAAAAAAAGAGGGAAAAAAATTTCCTTCATTTTGTATTTTTAATTAAATTTTGAATGTAGTATCAAAATTTCTTGACCAATTTTAAGGAATATGTAATGTTATTCTATAAGATATGAGTGCAATTAAATGATTGATATAAAGAGCTATTTCCTTGACACATATTTGCCATAATTGGATATCAACCAAATTTTCAAAATAATTGGCCACCCAAGGACTTCTTAAAGATGGTCAAATATTCTTAATAGTGTTTTCTGAGTGTAGAATTAATTTTCCTGTCTTTTAAAAATTTATAAGAAACATAATATTTCTATGGAAAAATAAAGTCTTTTAAAATGTTGGGGAAAGAGCCATCTAGACAATACAGTGTAGAACAAATGCCACTAAAATGTATTTGGTCAAACTTAAACAACTAAGCCTTTATACCAAACCTAAAATGCTTTTTTTGTTGCAGTCTAAGTGAAGTGGGGAATTGAGGAAGTCTGTTTATAAATAGACTATAGTACTATTTTTCAGGGATCCTTCAGATGCCCACTGGGCACTAAAAGGATATGTACAGATGGAAGACACTATATACATTATGAAGTACGAGTAGCATAAGATCCGTCTCTCCTCAAGCAGGAAGAATATCCACAGATTTTTCATTGTGTGAATAATTTAACATTTAAAATTAGAGGGATATCTTAGGCCTTGAAAGTTGACTCAGTTCTTAGGTTGATGTTTATTCATTTATAATTCTCCAACATTTGGGACAGTTCAGTTTTGATAAGAGTGAGCAGATTTTGGCATGAAAACATTAAAGACAACATACAATTTAAATATGTATCATTAATTGTTACTAAGAAATGAATCAAAGCATAAACTGAACTTATAAATACGACGACTTGGTAAGATACTCTTTACTCATGTTTTAAAACCTGAATTGTGGGGTGCATCCCAAATAGTTCTTTAAAAAGCAGGACATTAAAAACTAACAATAACCAACAAATTTAGGAGAATAAAACAGAACTTTGCAAATCCAATTAGAAATTTTACTTGGCAAACAAATGCCATGTTCTTTCAAATTCACAGAGAATTGTAAAGATTTTCATTTAAAATATAAAGCAACTCTTTAAGAGCTCAGACATCTCCTTAAGTATGTACATAAGTGAAATAATCATATTTATCATAAGTATGAGTTAGTTTATATTGTGGAAGGCATTATAAAGACTAGTGATAGTATCTCTTACTTGAGTTTATTATCAAGCAAAATATTCATAAAAATTTGGATGCCATACCCTTAAAATTACAAAATAATTACGATTGAAATCATAAATAATGAAATAATTTTGTTTGCATTTCAGTTTCATTTAATCATTCATGCATTTTATACTCAATGCTCAATCCTCTGGTTAAACAGGAGCTGATATCAAAATAAAGGTAGGGTTGCAAGATTATAGGATGAGCATGAAGTCTGTATTTGCTTATTGTTTCTATAATAATAAAGTAACAGCAAACATAAAATATTTTGCTATTATTTGAACACAAGTGAATATTAAAAGGGGACAAACAAGGCAAAAAGGAAAAAAGTTTTTTAATCAAATTAGGAAATAGATTTCCTTTTAGATAAAAGAAACTTAGACCTGATTCTTTGCCAATTGATATTGTTAAAGTTTCAGAAGACAAAATGTTTGATTAAGAAAAGTACCCTGTCAAGCTAGACAATAAGAGAACTATTTCACAGCACTTAAAAAAAGAAAAAAGGAAAGAAAAATAGAGTAAGAGTAGTCAAAGACTATTTTTGTTCTTCTTCTAAGCGAAGATTCACTAACCCATGCGTTTAGTAAAACAGCATAGAATGTTTTCCCTTAGGGAAGGCACTAAGAACATACATCGCATGTGATTCCACAAGTGCTACGATCCTTTATACAAAGTTGAATGCATTCATTATATCCTCAGCAGTTCAATGGACTCACCCTGTGTTCCCTGAATAATAGGCATATTTAATGCATGTGCCCTCTCATTTGCTTCATCGTTCCCTTTTGCTGTAACTGTCCTCCACAGAGCACCCAAGGGGCAGAGCAAACAAGTGAAGGGATAACAGTCCCACAGAATGAGCTTCACAGTAACTTCCATCACTACACGAAGATGTAAATTGAGAACAACTTACCGGACTCACGGCAACAAAGATGATAAAGTTTGCAAGGAGTGGAAATAATGTAATACTTCAGGGAAATGCAGTAAGCAGCGGCTGCTCCAGCCTGTAAATTGGACTGCACTGACATTACAATCAACTGTTACTGACAAAGCTCGCGAGAGTTGGCAGCAGCAACTTGATCTAGAAGCAGCCAATCTTTACTTTCTGACATCTGTTCAGAGGCTAATTGTATGAATGTGGTAGTGATTCATTTACAAAAGTATTACTGGATTCATGCTTTACGGTTGCAGGCGCTCATTTAACAATGAAGAAAAAGGATGAAGAAGTTTCTTTAATTCACAGAAGCTGAAATTGAACAGATAATGCACGTTTTTTTTAACACTACCAGAAATTTAAGTTTTTTTCCTCTTTTATAGAATGTACAGATTTCATATACTCATTTTAAGACTTAAAGATGTACACATTGTTCTAAGGAAGTGTGGTTGAAATACTGTATACTTTCAATCCTGCCGGTTACGTAGTTATAAAGATAAAAATTGGAATGCCAAAGATGCAATAGGTAAATAGGGAATGCAAAAGATAAAATAGGAAACAATGCAATTACTCTGTAAATAAAGCTCTGCAAATCAAAGGGTTAGTATATTAACTGAATAGATGTCTGCTTTGTACATACGTCCGTCTAACCTCCACACTCCAATACTAAGTCATACCAACCTCAAGCTGGCAATTTCCTATTTAGAGGATCCACAGGCAGTTAAGTGTAATGAGAAGTCACAATTTTTTGGTCAAAACAAGGAAAATATAGTAAACAATCTTCACCAAACTCTATAGAAAAGTCACATTTGTCAGCTGGAAGAGTGTGAGGAAGTTTATGTCTTTCAGAGTATAGTCCTTGAAATGTGTAACTGGCAAAATGAAAAAAAAACACCTTAATGAACTGCTTAATACCAGGCTTCTCAATGCAATTACATTCTTTATCTCTTGCAAACGAGAACTTTCACTTGTAAGTCTCTCACTATTAGGCTTGCTATAGAAGTGTGTAATCATATGTAAGCCCACTTTTGTTCTGAATATTGTGTTAAAATTTCAAACATGCACATATAAGACCTTTTATTTGTTATTGATACTTCATTGTGCCGGTCAGTATAGTTGACAATTCACATACATTATTTTATTGCAAAAATACATGAGCTAAATATTATTAACCACTTCTCCAGATGAGGAAGCCAAGGTTTAATAAAGATCAGAAACTTACTCTCATTACCAGCTGTGGGAATCTGAATTTCAACCTAAATTTGTCTGATGTCATTTCATGTCAATTATTTCCAAGATTACAGCCATTTTGGTCTTTCAAAATTATCTTTTCTGTAAAAATTGCCACTTAGAACCTGTTTATTAGGTAATAAACCTCACAATGATTTGTAAAGTATTTAGAATAACTTATGTAATGAAAACTTAGTTACACAAAAGTTACAGAATACATAGTCTATCTAAAAGGAAGAAAACAAATGAACAAAAAAGGTGTTGGGGAGGAATTCGGTTCATAGATGCAGGGAAATCAGTGTGCAAGATGAGGGAGGAATTCATTAAAGTGAGAGGAGCAGGGAATGGCAGCTGCCTTGCAGGCAGCAGAGAGCAAGGAAAAACAGAGAAAGAAAAGGAAAGCTCATTGAATGCCTACTCAGCATAGGGCACATCCCCTGTCAACTTCTGAGGACAGTGTCACCTGGAATCCAGTGTCTGCTTGGATCTGCATGGCATGGGAACTAAGTCCCTACCACCTCAGGATTTGGGAGAGCTGCAGAGCATTGGATGGAGTGAGATTATCTTCTGAGAACTTTGAAAAACAAATAAAGGAGATTTTCAGGCAGGCTATTGAGGAGCAAGATCGTATAGCTGCAGCTCAACCCAGGTCACTCTGGCGACGGGAACTTGCCAGCCCAAATCAGAGCTCTCAGCAGCTCATTCACTTATCTGAAGTAGGACGGATACAGAGTGAAGACTTGTGCTTAAGCCTGGAAAATAGAATGACATAGCAAAGTAACAAAGACACCACTGGAAGAGCACAGAGATAAAACATAATTAGGTGAACAGTGAGAAGTTTATTTAAGGCAAAAAGGTGCCCAGTCAAAAAAGGAGATTACGGGCAAACTCAGAGAGGAGGTGCCCTTAAGGGCTTAGGATTCTGTCTTTTAAGGCTTCCAAAAATGGGATAAAGAGTCAGGGACAGGAGGGTGTAGGCTTGTCATGTGGTCTCATGATACCTATCTTCAGTGAGAGACACTGTATCATCATCTGTAGCCAGGCCTCCAGATAATTCTGTAAGATAAGCTTAACACAAGGAGTTTATTGATCTTGTTCCTCTCCAAGAGAGTAGTTACCCTGAAGCATCAGGAACCTATCAGTTAAGACTGCTTGCCTTGCCTTAAGATAGGCTATTGGCTGATTACCAAAGAATATGTTAGGAATATAACTTCCCAACTCTCTGCTTTTAAAATGTAATCTTAGCCTTAAGATAAGTCCCTCCTGTTCTTACTATGCTATTTATATCTTGGCAGTTTTAGGAAAATTAATTATGATACTTGTCCCATGTCTCTGCCCTATCTCACCTGTGTTCCACTGGCTAGAACAATTCTCAAGGTCAGCCCAGATTCAGAGCATATGAAATGAACTCACATTGCAGAGGGCTTGGGTCCAGGGAGGACTCATTAACTCTGAGTCCTTTCTGGTTCTCTGGTTTTATCTGATTAACTCTTTGAGTCCCATTTAGTAGGATTTACTGGTCTTTTTGTCCCTCTACTTGTTAATATCTATTTCCTGCCTAACAAAGGTAGAAATATTCTAATAAATACAGAGAACAAACTGGTGGTTGCTCTAGGGGAGTGGGTCGGGGAAGGGAGAAATAAGTGGAAGGTACTAATAAAGATGTGCAGACTTTGAATTGTAAACAAATTAGGTCATGGAGATGAAAAGTACAGCAAAGGGAATATAGTCAACAATATTGTGGTGATGTCATATGGTGACCACACTTATCATGGTGAGCATTTTATAATACACATAATTTGTTGAATCACTAGGTCATATACCTCAAATCAATATAAAGTTGTATACCAACTATACATCAATAAAAAAAAAACCCAAAAGAAAAGGCTTTTTAAAAGGTAAGTACACTGGAAATTTTTGCAATGGTTTGTAAAGTAATGGCATTCCTATTTAAAATCTAATCATTCCACTTGAAAGAGGTTTCACTGGTTAAACATATGTGATGTTTTATTCAAATGTCAAAATTCTTCTCATCACCATAGTTTCACTGCATTGTTTTCTGTGCCACCATGTGGTTGGTCTTATTCTCAAACCCTGCTATTGTTGAGGGATGTTTTTGATGTTAACATATTCAGCAGACCATTTGCATACTCTTCATTGCCACTCACCACTATGTAAAATATATCACATATAGACATGCATTTCATTTAGATCTTTAGACAGGAAGCTAAACAATAAAATAATCAGTTACAAGAGGATTTTTGTTTTTAGCACATTTAAATTGGCTGACTAGCTACCTCAACTGATTATAAAACCTGGCAATTTTTCTTCTGCTCTGTATTTTTGCTTCAGTGAAGCATGACCATTAGCTTTTGCCTCTTTAGATCATTTTCTCTCATTTCTATTCCACATTATTTGATGCATTATTTCAGTGCATTTCTTATTTCTGTCTTATTTGAGGGTTTCTTCTTTTGGGGCTCAAAATACAGCCACTGTTCTACTTCTGTAATGTTATGGCTCCAGCAGGAAGGCAATTTCCTGCCCAGGGCAAGCTCTCTACGAATCCACTGAGACTGAAAGAAAACAAGGGTGAGATTTTGGTGAAAGGGTTTTTATTTCTCACAGCTCTTGGCGTGCTCCTAAGTCCTCTCTCTCCAGCTGTGGGGTATTCTCCATCTCCTGTAGCTTAGCTCTGCTCCTCAAATTCTGACCCTTCCACCAAGGCATGTGCTCCACTTCTCCCTGCTCCTTGCCCGGAGAGGAACTCCATGGGTAGGTCCCTGGTGACTGGTGGGTGCCTGATCAATTATGTACCAGGAACAGAGGCGAGGAGAGAATGGCCATTACTCTACACCCCTTACTGTGGATGGACTGGCAGCTCTGCTATGGTGAACATCCTACTGATGTGCAGACAGGCCCTTATGTGCATATTGCTATCAAGGCCAGGAGAGAAATTCTGGTTGAAAATTTCCATTTACTCAACAGATGTCAGCATTTTTTCACATATATTAACTGAGAGGATGGCAATGTTATGTAGAAAGATAGACATGAGCAGATGGGGAAGGGGAAGATGGCATTCAAGGAAAAAAACTGCCTAATGTCTGCCCAGATAGGGGGTTCCACATAAAGACAACAAACGCTTTACAGGGAGATAACTTCATGCCTATCCAGACAAGCCAAACTGGTCCCAACCATGTCCCAAAGCAGGCACAATTGGACAAAACTAAAAACTGCCCAAACCACAACCCCTCATAATCTCATTAAAATAAAATTGTGGTTTTGCTCCCTCTGCCCTCATGGGCTTCTCAGTGTGCATTTTGGGAAAATATACGTGCACCAAGAGGAATGGGTGTAGTATTAGAGCTGTCAATCAAATAACCTTACCCCATCAATCAAAGGAAGTGCTTCTCAACTAGGTGGTAATATATAGGCCCGGCCTTTGTCTGCCTTAACTCTGGCCCACTCCGCCCTTGGAGTGTATTCAAATAAAACTTAAACTGTTCTTCACTACTGCCTTTCAATTTTTTGTTGTGGAAGAGAAAAGAACCAAGGAGAACAAATGCAACCCATAACAGTAGGGCTCACACAATGAGCTTTTCAGGATTAGGTACCTGTTTCCTGTTACATGACATATATTTGATGGTTAATGATCATGATGTTAAATGTTGAGTATGTCCTGTAAGTGACACTGAAATGTCACAAGGTACTTGACACAGTATTAATATTGCTCATTTTTTGTAACCATATATGCTGAATCTTGGGCAAGACAACCATTAGTCTTGACTCTTGTCTAAGACTAGTTTCAGTTAACCTATCATAGTGACTTTTTGATTTAAAGGTGTATTATAACTTAGTTACCACT